CTCACAATGACTTTATGTGTGTCACAGTTGAACCGTGTTCCCTAGGGCTTTCAGAACTGCATCACCATGGACAATTCTACCAAGAATTTGTCAACTCTGTTCACTATAAGATGGAAAATTGGAATCCTTTTTCCTTTTTCTTATAGTACTTTTGTAGTCCTGGTGCGGCATGGTGGGTTAATGCGCTGACTGCAAAGTCGGGTTTGAACTGCAAAGCCGAAGTTCAAGCTCACCAGCTGCTGCTCCTCAGAAACCCTATACAGGCTCGCTACAGGTCAGAATTGACTCGACAACACTTAACAACAACAACAACAACAATAACAATAGTACGTTTGGAGTCCTGGTGTGGTGCTGTGGGTTAAAGTGCTGGACTGCAAAGTCGGTTTGAACCACAAGGTTGGTGGTTCAAGTTCATGAGCTGCTCCTAGGCAATAGGGATACAGGGTGGCTATGGGTCAGAACCGACTCAAAGGGACTTACAACAACAACAACAAAATAGTACCTTTAACATAGAAAGTCTTAGAAAAAGATAAGGAAATGTGAATAGGTAGGAATTTCTGATATAACCCTGACCACAAATTGGTAGCAAATTATTCTTCATCAAATATTTTATAATGTATTATTGCATGTTACTGGTTAGAGCAATTTTTTTTTTAAAGTGGGCATTTTATTTCATAATAAGATGGAAAAGTTATATTCAATTTACTAAATACAAGTGGGCATTGAACTATTCCTGAGATATAGTTCCAGAAAAAAACATTGTCCAGGTAGAAGAAACCAACAAAGGCATCAGCTGCTCCTCGGCAACCCTATATAAGTCAGAACCAACCCAACAGTACTTAACACCACCACCGTCCTATAAAGATTATTGCTGGAAACAGACTGAGAGTAACGCAGCAGATACGTGGCCATTCCTGTTGCTCCCTCAGCCTGTATTTCTGCTCTCTTCTAGGAGAACTGAATTTTGTCTGACCCACAGGCACTGGAAGGAGCCTGGTGGAGGGTGGGCTGAAGGCCCTGGAGCTGGCCTTTCAGCAACACTAATAATGCTGTCTACGGAAAACCATGTCTAAGTGGCTATCAAAGTCCTAGAGTTTTAGAGGAAATCTTGCTGGTGTTGATGGATTTTTCCTTTTCTGACAGTTCACAGGAAAGGGTGTAGTGTAAAGAATTAAATGATGCCATCTGAAAATCTGATGGACTCAAATACTTCTGCTCAGATCCCCTATTTATGGCTGCATGCAAGACTCTCCATCTTGAATGAGGTCATCTTGTTGGTGCACAGAAAGGATTCTGGGGGATACGTGTCCTATACTGAAGCTATTCATAATGTTCATTCCTCCTGCTCCTCACGGGTAACAATGACCCTTCTCAGAATTACATGTGCTCACTGCAGAGACAGGGTTTAGGCTCTTTTCAATGGAACTCCCCCTGTGACATACAATGCATTTATTATAACCTCCCCGACCAAAGAAGGGCTGGGAACAGCTTTGAGAGGCCTATAATTGAGTACATTTAATAATAAATGCACAGACTTCTTAGGTATTTCAAGAAATAGAAATAAAAACCTTCATCTTCTCACTCTCCAAGCCCACCCCCACCATTCTTCCTTTTTTCAAATAAGAAAAGCCAGAAGTTCTATATTTTAAAAAAATAACAATCACAAAGGATGTCTGGTCAGTGGGGAAGGAGAAATTAAATTACTGGAGAACGTTCTTTTCATGTTTGAAAAAAAACAAAACGGTTTCTACTTACTGAGGTAGTTAGTTGTGTATGGTGAGGTGCTGTCAAAACGCTGTCCTCTTTAATCAATCACCCTTAGATTCTGGGGCAGGATATCAGGAGGGACTCAGCTGCCCCCAGCTCTCAGCAGTATCCGGGAGGGGCAGTGACAAGTATTCCCCACTCCCCAGTGTGCACACAGAGCTGCCCAGTATAAGAAGGGAGAGGAAGGGAGCGAGCACAGTGGAATGTGGTCAGTTTACAGGAACAGAAAGTGCACCGGAGGAAAAGAGACAAAGGACAGGAGCGTGGACATCTAGGCCTTTACAGGTGAGGTGTGAGTGAGGGGCAGCCTGGCAGAGTCACCAAAGCACTTGGGGTTTGAATTCCAGCTCTCCTTCTGCCCAGCTGTGTGTGCTGGGCTATTTCTCAATTCTCTACCCCTCAGTTTCTTTATTTGTAAAATGAGCATGCTCATAAACTTCAATAGTACATCAGGTGTCGGCTACTGGAGATCTTGGGAAAGTGACTTAAGTCCTCAGCGTCTTGCTTTATTTGTAAAATAAGGTAAAATACACTTCTTCTACATGCCTTATTGTAAAGATTGAATAAAAGAATGTGTGATATCACTCAAGTGTGTTGTTTTGATATACCGTTCCTGTTCATACTGACCCTGTATAGGGCTTCTGAGGTTTGAACTGCAGACCTTGTGGCCCCTAGTCCAGTGCTGATTCTACAGCGCCACACCAGGAGTTGTGTTGTTGTTGTGAAGTGCTGTTGAGTCGGTTCCGACCCACAGCAACCCTGTGTAGGGTTTCCAAGCAGCAGCTGGTGAGCTTCAACCGCCAACCTTGCAGTTTAAATGGCTTTGCAGTCTGGCACATTAACCCACAGTGCCACACCAGGACTCCACACCAGGTTAGAGAGCCCTGGTGGTACAGTGGTTTAGCACTCAGCTGCTAACAGAAAGGTTGGGGGTTTGAATTTACCCAGCAGTTCTTCGGAAGAAAGACCTGGTGATCTGTTCCTTTAAAGGTTACAGCCAAGAAAATGTACGCTGCAGTACTATTCTGGCATGAGAGGAAAATCAACTCACTGGCACTCAGCAATAGTAGCTGCCTACTGTTGTTATCATCAATGTCATCACATTTTAAAAGGTACTTAAACCTGTTAGCATCTAGCTGATTTCAACTTATAGGTCAGGGTAGAACTGCCCTGTAAGGTTTCAAAGGAGTTGCTCCTCAGAAATCCTGTACAGGGTCACTGTGAGTCAGAATATACTTGATGGCAATGGCACACACACACACACACACACACACACGCAATCGTTACAGAAGCAGAATGCCACATCTTTCTCCCATGGAGTGGCCTGGTGGGTTTGAACTGCTGACTTTTTGGTTAGCAGCTGAGCTTCTTTTAAAAGGTACTTCTGGTTTTTGTTACATGCCATCAAATTGGCTCTGGCTCATAGTGACCCTGTACAGGGTTTCTGAGAACCGACTGGTAGGTTTGAACTGCTGACCTTGTGGTTAGTAGTCAAGTGCCTTTCCTACACCAGGCACTTGCTGGATTGAAACTCTTGTGTCATTGGGTGAGTCAATGCGCATAGCAAGCATCTGGCTAGAGAAACAAGCCAAGGTGGGCCAGCTCCTTGGGAATAGAGGTGTGGTGATGTGCCATGGAGTCAGTTCCAACTCATAGCGACCTTGAACAGGGTTTCCAAGGCTGTAAATCTTTACGGGAGCAGAAAGCCTCATCTTTCTCCAGCAGAACAGCTAGTAGTTTCAGACTGCTGACCTTAAGGCTTGCAGCCCGATTCGATTCGTAATCACTATGCTACCAGAGCTCCTTAATGCTGTTCTGGAAATGGATTGTTTTTATTATTTGCATGTTAATGACAAGGTGGTGGGATGGAGGGGCAAAGGAGCACTACCTTTTCTTCTGTCCTACAATTAATTCTGGTGAGGAGCTACGGATAAGCACGAGACTGCTAACCACAAGGCCAGCGGTTCAAATCCATCAGCTACTCTTTGGAAACTCTATACAGGGTTGCTATGAGTCAGAACCAACTTGGTGGCACAAAACAATAGACAATGATAATGAATTAAAATGATATTATGAATCTGTGCCATTTCAATACCGATGGTTAAATGAGGTAGCATTAATAATGAGAGTAGTTTTTCCAGCGCCTGATAAGAAAGCTCATAGACACACTAATGGACCAGCCTTTTTGACTTTGTCATCCATCCTGAACAAGAGATTTCTATTAGATGGTTAGAGAGAGGCTGACTCCTGTTTAAGCCTTTGGTTTGAAACAAAGCACCATTAAACCTATTGGTAGGCGGTTCAGTGGGTGGGAATAGGTACGCTAAGGAAGGCTAAAAAAATGAGGCTTGGAAAAAAAGGATTTTTTGACAGTTAAGGACTATCTAATGATTCAATTCAAATACACTGTCTTGTTCTTACTTTGCTCTAAGTAATTTTTATGTGAATACTCTCATTAAATATTTTTTCCTTGTAATCATTTGCTATTTTGAGCATTACATTATGGACACCAGAATGAAATCATGTGAACTTCTGAGAAGATCAGAAGAAGAAGAAGAAACAGGAAGACAAGACACCCTTCATCCTTCTTTCCTGGCAGCATGGAGAACAGGACATTTGCTTCTTACTTGAAGAATGGTTCAGAAGTCACGTGGGAAAGGAGGCAATCTAAGGGTCCTTTGATTCCTTCTGGCATTGGCCAAGAAGATGGAATTATTGTGAAACCCCAACCTTGTACAAAATACTGGTGTTGGAAGGATTTCAGTGGGTTAAACATGATATAATCACTGTTTGCTGGGCAAAAAAGAGTAGGGGAGAAAATCAAAATAATGACTGGAGTAGCTTGGGTAGGGTTTGCGCTGAATTGAAATTGACTATCAAAATGTGGCATCAAACGCTTGGTTTAATGGAATCACTTTTGTTGTCTTAGATGATCAGATAACACATTAAGGCAAAAGCAAGGTCTTTTCTGCATCTCAGACTTTGGTAGAGACCAAGTAACACCTTTCTTTTCAGAATGCAGCTCAACTCACTTCCTCCAAAGGCTTCTAAACCCAGCAGTGCTTGTGGACGCAGGCACCAGCCCCCCCTCTAGCTGTTTCTCTGAATTCTAATTATTGAGCAAGTGGACAGCCGCTGAGGGGGTCTGAAACACCTTAGTCTTCTCTTCAGAGCACTCTTTATTCGTATCTTATTTCAGATGCCGGGATCATTAGGGTGAGGAAGGGCACTTCTTAAATACTCGACAACATGGTGGAGGTGAAGATCTGCTGTAAAATCTGAGGGATATCCTTGGTATCCATGGCAACGAAGGACCGGCCCGCGGGTAAAGTTCTCTGAAGCCTGCCAGGATGGAACCGAGGAGAAAATTAGCATTGCAAATTGAGGCTCCCCTTCCACCTCTT